TTTCCAGGATAAAAATCCGTACAATCCGTACAATTTGAAAACAAATCCGTACAATCCGTACAATTTTAGGGTAAAAAAAAAATCAATCCGTTCAATCCGTACAATCCGTACATTTTGGCCACCCTGGAAATGATACTAAAGAGCTTAGGGAAAAATGAAAAATTGGACATGAAAGGCAAGTTGTTCACCCTTTTAGATACGTTTTACTCTAAATATTTTGTATTTTCTCCTAATTACACCAAATTACAGAGTGTTTGCGAATAATTAAAGGGGGTGCAGGTTGATTTCGAATTTAATTCAATATTGGTCGTTGCTGTTTTTACTTCTGTTTGTAGCGTCTTTAAGGAGAAATTGGTTATAGACGTAGCGTCCATACAAATTATTCCACTCAGATTGTAAAAAATTCAATTGAATTTAGATATTGCAACCTACAATTGTCGAATTTAATTCGATGCATTCATATATCATATTGATATTTTATATTTTTTTATATTATATGATCCGAGTGTTACTTATGAAAATATTAATTTAGAGTATTTTTAATTATGAAGACGACATTTTCATAGTTTCCAAGAATGTTCGAAAATCCAGTACCAGCTGTGAAAACAAGTTTTAAGCTAAATAATAATTCAAACAGATCAGGAATAGTATAATCACGCGAGGTTGTTAAGAACTATCAGAGGGGTGGGTCCACAACGTCCAGATTAATAAATACCCGAAATGTGTATCATAGAGGGAGAAAGAAAATTATTTTAAATACAGGGGGCATTAGTTCCAAAACTAACACTTGGCCCATTTCTATCACTGAGTGTTAGAAATGGGCACAAATTGAAAGACTGAGTTTTTGTGATCCCGGCCTATATCCAGAGTAAAAGTCGATATTAAAAACTATAACCAGCATTTTATTAAACATGACGAGGAAAACAATTCCCAGTCAAAATTATAATAGGAGTTCTTTTTATATTACATCTCTTGGCCGTTTTCAAGACAATGTCAGGTTTTCCATTCTCGAACATATCCTGAGTTTGAAACAATGTCGCGTTTTCGAGACAAACCCCAATTTCACGTTTCTGGGTATAATCCTCAATTCAAAACAAATCTCACTTTCATAACTTACAAAATAAATCATTTAAAACAAAAATTATCTTATGAAGACTAAATTAACTTCTGGATTATTTCTAGAATATTAGTTTCCACATTTTATCTGTTAAATTAGATAATATTAAACAAACAGTTTCCGGCATTTCTAGTTCAATTTATATTCAAAGAACCAATGATATTAATATTTTGATTTCTCAACGCTGTCATATTTTTTAAACTATAAAAGAACAGTTTGTTTTTATTTTCTATTTTGTTAATATTTAATAAAAATTAAAAATTAAAATTGATATAAATTCCGGTAATTGTCTCAAAACCGGGATGTTCCGAAAACGCGACATGAGCTTAAACCGGTAATTGTTTCAAAACAGGGATATGTTTGAAAATGAAATTAATAATCATCAAAAACTAATTCTCACACATTATTATTAGTTTAAAATTAATATTTATTGTTATAATATATAGTTTTTGCCATTTTTTATAAATATATGGTGTAATTTTGTTCTATTCGTCTTGGATTTAAAGATACTCTTGAAAAAGATAACTTTGCAGATTTGGCAAAGTGTTAGTTGATTGAAAAATGTCGTCATTGCTATACAATATCAACTTTTATAGAAGAATTAATATCTGTTTATTTAAACACATGATACTTTAGTGTAATTTCCGTTTATTATCAGTGTGATATATTCAATATCGAATATAATATCCAATATTAACTTATAAAACTATACTGAAAATAAAAATATTTAGTTTTAAAAATAAAGTTTTGGAACTAATATCCCCTGAAATGGGGGGCGACGGAAAAGATATTTTCCGTAAATTATTCCTCTACTGTAAAACCTTTAACTATTTAAGGATCAGACTGCAGGAACCAGAACAAGATGAAAATAAGATTCAAGGATGGACAATTTCAACTCAAAATAAACTTCAAGCTTAGAATTACAATTTATTAAAAAGAAACTTTTGATAGAGAGTTTAAAGATTACTAAAGAGAAACTGTTTAGGATTAATTCTATATGAAACTCCTAAGATGTAAAGATATCCAGGAGTTTAGCAAGATAACCCTGAGCAAAGCAATCCTGAAATCTTCAAGCTATTCAAAACCATCGGAGAATAATTTGGCAAGAATAAGCAAGATCTAGAAGAGCATTTAAACACCTCAAAGCTCGCATCAGAGTAAGGTTTAGAAATATAAAAGCTTGGAACAAAATTTTAATTAATTTTATTAAAAACTAATTTTTGTATTTTTAGTTTTTCACCGTGTTGAGAGATGAAAATAAACTCTAAACCTACGTCTTCTTTCAAAACGAGTGCATAAAAGATTCCAAAGAGTGTGTTTTACAAGACCCCTACTTTTCCCAGATGCTCAAAAAGTAACCAAATTTCTGGGATTGTACATCTACTTAGTTACCTGAGGAAGTGCTTTTATAAAATGATTTTGATTCAGCTTCTGGACGAGCTTATCCACAGTCTTATCCAGGGCACTGCGCATCATCGTCATTCTCTGCCCTTCCTCACCCTAGTCAATCAGTCAATCAATCAATCATTGGAACACTTCATCAATCAAATGATCGATCATTGAATATGACATTCAGTCAACCAATTAATCATTCAATCAATCAATCGATCAATCAATCAACCAATCAATCAATCAATCAATGAACCAATCGTTCAATCAGGCATTTAAAGACATTAGTTAATTTTTGTATTGGGTCATTTTTTCATAAGGTTGCAAATCTAATATTGAAGGAAACCTCATTTTATTGTTTTATAAAATTATTCCATCCTCCAATAGATCATTCAATCAACCAACTATTTGAAATGAGTAATCATATATTGAAATTTTAAATCTAAATACAGATCAAATTGTAGCTTCCTCTTTTGGCGACATATCAATATATTTTCTATCTTCCTCTATCATTGAACATATTATTTTAAAAATCCAAGAGCAACGATCAAAAGAAGTCCTCGGTCAGCTTTATAACTCTTCAGGTTTACTTTGTTTTTCATATTGGTCTTTGTGCAAATTCTTGAAGTTGAGCCCAAGGGAATTCTAAAACTGTAAAACAGTTACAGATAAATATTAAAAAACGATAGGGGGGAGGGGGGGTGAGTTAGAACTAACTTTGGTAAATTAGGTTTCGACGATTACCTGGCACGGAATTCTTGTTTCCCAATCGGATACTGTAGGGATCCCCTGTACAATTTGTACTGCAGGAACTCCCTGTACAATCTCCACTGCAGGGTCTAATGGGGTACTTGGTGTACAACTCGGCTCCATTCTTAATCTATATGTTACAATAATCACAATCACAGAAGAACAGAAAATGTATGCTCTTTATTTTCCTTTATTGTTAGGAATATACAATACACACAGGATACTATAGTTGGTTACAAATATACATTTTATTCCGAATTCGTAACTTGAGTAATAACTTAATTAAAATTTCTTTAAACGCTTAAAAATCTTTTTTAACTTTAATTCTTATTTCAAACTAAGCTTTGAAATATTTATTCCCAAATTAAAGCGAAGTGAACAGGGGTTATCTGACCTTCAAAAACACGCCTGCAATCAGGTCATATTGTTTATATTGTATACCTATTAATATCATTTATAGCAAACATCTACGAAAAAAAAATTTAAATATACTGACAAAAATTAAATCACACAGGGTTTTTAACACAATTATACCACAAATAAGACTAGAATATTTTTTTTAATGTCTGATGTGTCAAATAAAATCTAATAAAAAAAGATTAAATATCAACAAATTATCTAAAATTTTAAAATAAGACTCTTAACTGGCAAGTCTTCAATTTTAAAATTTCAAAGATTTGTTAAAATTATTCAACATTAAAAATTTGAACTTTTAAGCACTATTGAAATTAACAATTAATACTGATTTCATGAATATATTTCTTATTCATTTTGATGAAAAAATAAATATTTTTGTTTTGATTTAAAATTGTATTTTGATAATTAAAAATAACTTTTTCTATTTATCAAATAATGCCCAATGCCCATTGTCCATTTCTAACACTTCAAATAATTTTATAATTTACTTTAATCAAAAAAGTTTTAACACTTCTCTGGGCCAGGATACATCAAAATAATCAAATTAGGCTGCAAAAGAAATCAAAACTTTTTAACACTAAACACACCCCTTAAGAATATAAACTAAAAAATTGCATTACATATTATTTAAGAATAAATATTTATGATTTTTAACATCTCTAAAAAGGACTTGATGTCGTCATTTCTATAAAAAAAATCATTTAATTTTTTTTAAGTATTTCAACCCAATTAGTAGTTATTGTTGAAACACAAATCAAAGCTCGTTTAGTAATTAATAATATTGATATTACAACATTTAACGATAATAAACAATAAAAAGTACAACACTCAAGGAGTATGAAAGAGAAGGAAGATACAACTGACGCGGCCCGCCCTACCATATGATTATACATGCTTTGAAGAGGGTACTCCATTTGTATAAGAAATATTTAGAATAGGTTATTGTATACGCGGTATTTGTATACATCAGACAAATATTTCTTATTCAAATGGAGTAAGTACCGTCTGCAAAGCATGTATGTATAATCATATGATAAGGCGGGCCGCGTCGGTTGTATCTCCCTTCCATTTCTTACTCCTTGGTACAACACTATATGCAGTACGTTTAAACGAACTAGCGTACTTCAGAGATCTAACATCAATATTTGATTTAAGGGACTGTAAACGTAATTTAAAGCGACCCTCTTTGCAAAGAGGAGAAACCCTGTATTACAACGGTAACCTTGAAACCTTAGGCTGATCATAAATGTGGAAGATATTGTCGTTTTAAAGCTCAACAAGTGTTTAGTTCTAGTAATTTCATAAGTCACTATTGCAGAGATCAAATCAAATCAAATCAAATACATGGATATCTAATTCATATTTAATCAGACAAAGTTTTTAAGGGTACTGTTGTGAATCAGACATGTCACTCCATCAATTAGGAGTCACTTGAAATTACAACGTCAGTCCCTTTGACATGAATAATCAGAAAGATTTGATCAGATAAATTCTGGGAAATTAAAGAGGATTATTATACCATCCTTTTCCCTCATCTCCGAGTACATTAGGGACTCAAGGATACCCTGGCCTTCCTAACTTATTAAGGGGTGACATACCCCCCCCCCATGGCTGGAGGCGGCGTCCCCCTCAATACGGACTAATTAAGAGGGGCGAGTATCCCCCTAGCTAGCAGTGAATCCTCCAGAGAATGATATAGCTCCAGCTGTTCTTCAGGTTTCAGCATAAACACCAGCTGCAGCAGCTGAAACAAACAATGCTTTTATTAAAATCCGGGGAGTTAGAAGCAGTTAGAATGACGATACCAACATTTTGTTTAATAGCCAACTTAAAGGGAGTGACCGGCAATGTTTGGTGGTTGAGCTTAGAATGAAGTATTGTGGATAATTTTTTTACGAATCATTTGAGACCTAAGAGACATTTACGGTGCATTTTTGTTCAGCAAGAGCGCAAATTTAATCTTTACAATCTTTACAATCCTCATAGATTGTTCATTTTTGAGGAAAGATTTTGAAGAATTGGTTTTTAAAAATCATTCAGTAACGACGCCGAAAAATGATGTAAAAATAAACTAATTGGTTGTTTAGGAACATTTTTTTAACGAAAAGACGACATTTGAAAAATTCAAATAAATCTGCGAACAAATTCATTAAGAATAAGAAATTCAAAATAAAGTGAAAATTGTAAAACCCATGATGGTTTCTATTTCTGAAGACAACTTGTAAACCTTCCAAATTGTAATCTACAGAACTTAATGTCACAAATAAATTCAAATACCAAAGACGACTTCCAAGTCGTCTTGCTATTGTCATGTTTCGTGCTCCTGGAAGTATTAGCTGTAATGATAAACGTGGAGCTTTGCAGTATGGTTTGCAGTACACAATTGTACATTACTATACAAGAGTACCCTTGAAGTAAATTCAGTATGATGGAGCCGACAATCACCGGAGATTGGTTAACTATCTCAGAGAGACTAGTGTCCAGAACCACCGGTCCAGAGTCCTAAATCCAAAGTACCGAAACTACATGACCGTAGTCCACTAAGAGGCTACACAAGTCCAGAGGCGAGCGTCCAGTGTCCAGAGGCGAGGGTCCAGAGTCCGAGTTCCAGAGATGAAAACGGTATCCATCCTCAAATTAACCCCAAGAGATCGTGCAGTAGAAGTACGTTTCTTATTAACTTATTTTTACATTTATACTTCAACCTTTGTAATCATTTTCTTTAACCTAAACTAATTATAAATATTTTCAGATTGAAAACGTCGAAATACATATCTAATGTTGTGTTATGTGCTTATAATTTGCTGCCAAGATCTCTTTTATACTGGCTGTAAAATCTCCGTTCATAGATTTTACCAAAACAATTGATTCTAACATTGATCTATTGGGAAAATTTAGATTGTGAAATCTTAACATCTTATCAGTTTACTGTAGACTTTTTTTTACATTTTTGTCGTCGTTTTTCAATGATAAAAATCAATTCTCAAAACGTATCCGCCCAAATGAAGGATTTTGAACGTCGATTTTGCACTAAAACTCAGTAATTATTCATCATTATTACGTTTAACATGTCTCAAATGAATCCTAAAAATTCTCAATAATACTACATTCTCAGCTAACTACCATACATTGCAAGTCACTTCCTTTAAACATGATTTCAGATCAACTGAATCCATATTTTATAGATCATCTATTTACATATAAATCCATTCAAAAATACTTTTAAAACTCCCTGTCATATCTTGATCATCATGATGTAAATAAAATTTATGTTAAATAATTCAAATTCTTTAAATCATTATAATAGAAACGCATGAAAAAAAAACTTTCTCCTTTCATTGGGTAAGGGTAAATACTTTTGATAATCTAAGGGGGGGGGGTAAAATTCCCCCTTGAAACATAATTACCTTGCCAGGTGTTACAACGTAAATGAAGCTATGGTAGTAAACGTTGACGAAGGTTGCCATCAGGAACTGGCAGTCAAACCTAAAAAAATGTTTTATTTTATGTAGTTTATGTAGTTTATGTATAGTTTATGTAGTTTATGTAGTTTATGTAGTTTATGTAGTTTATGTAGTTTATGTAGTTTAAGCAGTTTAAGCAGTTTATGTAGTTTATGTAGTTTATGTAGTTTATGAGTTTATGTAGTTTATGTAGTTTATGTAGTTTATGTACTTTATGTACTTTATGTAGTTTATGTAGTTTATGTAGTTTAAGTATTTTATGTATTTTATGTAGTTTATGTAGTTTATGTAGTTTATGTAGTTTACGTATTTTACGTATTTTATGTATTTTATGTAGTGTATGTAGTTTATGTAGCGTAATCAAGCGACCCTCCATGTAAAGAGGGCAATATCTGATTTACAACGGTACCCTCAAACCCTTTACGCATACACGCATGTGGCATATCTCTGTACTTGACGAACACACAAAGGTTTAACGGGTACCGTTGTAAATCGGGTATCGCCCTCTTTGCATAGAGGGTCACTTTAAATTACGCTTACAGTCCCTTTAAGTTGTATCGTAAGTGTTAGGTTTTGGTAAATACTAAATACTTATTAAGTAGAAAATAGTTGACCTGTCCATGATACCCCCATGGCCTGGGATAATATCTCCGAAATCCTTGATCTTAAACGCTCTCTTGAACCCTGAAGCGAAGAACCCGCCGAAAGGGCCAATGATAGAGGCGAAGAGGGACATGAAGAGGGCGTGGAGCAAGAACGGGTAGAGGGTCACGGTTTCCTGAAAGGGTTGGTGTTAAAAATCACTCGACTCTTCTAATAAATAGTTGAAGAATCAAGACGTCATTTCTAATCTCAGAAACTGAGACTGCAATTAACAGGGCCACACCATAGATCCAGTCTTTAATTTATAAGACTTTGAAGTCTTTCAACTTTTAACACCTTGGGATTTAATTTTACAATTACTTTTTTGAAGCTCTAGTCATGTACATTTAATAACTTGTATTTTCTTTATTTTTTAAAAGTAATAAGCAAAATCCTCATATTTTTTTCATAAGAGCTTGCAACCATTAGATCGCTGTGGCCAGGGCGCAATTCTCTTTGCCTAGCCAAGATATACAAGTTTCGCTCTCAGGTAAAATCAAGTTGAGTCTTTAATGGGATTCGGTGCGTTATTTCAAGTAACCCTCCATGCAAAGATGGCAATGCCCAATTCATAACGGTACCTTTAAAAGCTTTGTCTGATCAATTATGATTTAGATAGCATTGTTTTTTATTTGAAAAACGGATTATTTTCAACTGTGGTTTCTCCACAAGAGTGACTTGAGCATTTCTACCGCAGAAAACATGTGGGAATTATGAGAATCAATGAAGGGTAACTTGCTTACAGGACTTTGGGCTCCTTTGTTGTAGCTTTCCGGTAATGTTACATTGTCTATTGTCTATACACAAGTATTTTGACTTATTAACATTCCGACCTACTGCAATATCCCCCCATACTGAACTATTGACTTACTAACTGCGGCCACATGTCCAACTAGCAGCTGCAAAACCACTTTCTAGGTCTAAAAAGACAGTAGTGTAGCGGATGTGCGTAGGTCGAAAGATACACCTTCTATTAGTTTACCTTCATGTGTAGAATCCTTCTCCAGGTGGTGAGAGTCTGCGGGAGAGCATACTCCTGAGGTCTAAATATTATAATGTTTATTCAAACCAATTTAATTCTATTAATAACAGGACATTCGTCCGTTTTGGTGATTTTTAGACTTTTAAAAGATACCACACAAATCCTGTGAACTTCCAACCAGGGACGGGACGGGGCGCAACTAGCACTTTAGTTTGGGAGCAAAGTTACTTTTCAAGAACTAAGGGGGGGGGGGCCGAAAAATTATAAAAATGATCGTGCTGTTCCTAGGGTTTGAAGTGGAAAAAGTTTTTTTTTCAAATATTGCAGGTTAGTCTCCATGTTCAATGTTTACTAATTTATTTTTTCTTGTATTTTAGAAAGTCTTACCTGAAGAGAGCGGAGGGCTCGCAGGACATTGTCATCCTCTCCAACTCCGGGGAGTACTCTATCGGGCAAACGAAATACGGGAACTGACACATTAGGTAGGAGAGGCCCAGGGTCATAAATACAGTTGCTATTCCTCCACCGATAAATCCCTGGGAAATAAATAATAGTAATTAAAAGGACTGTACGCGTAATTTTGAAAGATAATGTCGTTTTTCTCACTCGAAAAGTTTTGGTTTCTGTGAATTTCTGCAGTGTTCCTTATAAGAAAGAAATGCGCAAGTCACTTTTGCAGAGAAACCACAAAATAAAAAACATGAACATCATTTTAATATTCGTACTTTATCAGACAAAGCTTTTTAAGGTACCGTTGTAAACTGGGCATTGACATCTTTGCGTGGGGGTCACTTAAAATTACGCTGACAGGTTGATAAAAAATGAAATTTTCAAACAGGCAAAATGACAAGGAAACATATTATTTGTAAAAAGAGAAAAAATTTAAAAATATTTCGTCAAATCATAACTAAGGACGGAAAAAATGGTATTGAACTGTTTCACTTATTACTTCATACTGAATTGAGAGGAAAATGTTTCAATGAAGAAACACAAAAAACAGGGCAAATTAGATAATTTTTAAAGAAATTTTTCGACTTTTACCTCCCAGGTTTTCTTGGGGCTAAGCTTGATGAGTGGAGTACGACCCATGAAGAATCCGAACATGTACGCCATCACGTCGTTGATCACCACCATCAAGATCGGCATGATAAACCAGATTAGTCCTGATAATAATATGTTAACCGAGAAACTAAGTGTTTGATTTAACAGCATGTCGTTTAAGCCTGAACTATTGTAAAAAAAAAATGGGGGGACGAGAATTACAATACTTAAAGGCCTCCTTTAAACAAAAAAAAACTCAATCATAATAACAATTAAAAGGTATCAATAAATTCAAAAAAAATTGGATTGGCAAGTTTTACTATCTTTAAAATGCTTCCTAAAAATAACTAAAAATGCCAGCTAATTTTCACACTTAAAATCAAAGTTTTTTCTCACTTTTAAAATTTGAGTATCAGGAACCCCTTAAAAATAATGCTGCTCATAGCAAACATTCCTTACAAGCGTAATTTTAAGTGACCCTCTTTGCAATGATGGCAATGTCCGATTCACAACGGTACCCTGATAAAGTATGAATTAGATATCTATTTTTTATAATTTTGAAAAGTGATTATTTTCAAATGAAATTTCTTTATAATTATGACCTGCTTATTTCTAGTGCAGGAAACTATATAAGGATTATCAGAAATAAACCCTTTAAACTAGAAAAATTACAATATCTTCCACATTCTTGTTTAGATGTAGGTTTCAAGGGTACCGTTGTGAATATAACATTGCCATCTTTGCATTGATGATAACTTTTTCCTCCGATCGAGCGTCGGGAACCCCAAAAATGCAGTGGAGGGGGGGGGGTACCTTGGAACATATTCTGAATGATGAGGTATGACTGAGTGACTACAATGAGTAGTGCTACATGGGTCCAGGCGAACAGGGAGAACTGACGTAGATAATACTTCTTCACAAGGCTCAACACAAACCAGACAAATCCTAAATAAAAGAGATCAGGGGTGTATATTTGCTTGAAAAATTCCCCCCTTTTTTAAGCATCTTCAGTTTGCTAAAGTTAGTTCAGTTTGAAAAACAAAATATTTTTAGGGTTTTTCGCTGAATTTGGGAACACACACCCTTTATCAGAGATGAAGTGTGACTACAGTGAGGCCCATAAAACTGTGGAACGGGAATCTAACATTCAAGAAATATTCTATATATATATATTATTACTGTTACCACTAATTTGAAATCCAACTAATTAAGTGAAAGTGGTCTATGTCTTGTGTACAATTCCTGTTTTTCATGTTCTTTGGACTATTTGTATTCACCACTTGTCAAAAGTCGTCTTCCTACTCCACAGCTTAATGGGTGTCACTGTAGTAGATCAGGTTAAATCCAGTTTAAATACTGATTAAACATCCAGAGACCCAAATTGAATAGCATGAAGTAGTAGTTGAACCACAAAAACTACATTGAACCACTCTAACTTGAATTGGCGCACATAAACGTAGATAAACTATTTCTAAGCAGTTTAACTACTTTTGGCTATTCAATAAAATGTTGTCCTCGAGGTCAGGTACTTATTTAAAAAAAAAAATTTATTCACATTTATTTTTTAAACCGTTAAAATAAATTTTCTCAATAGCTTAAATTTAGCAAACAAACAAAAAACATAACTGAATAAAATCAGAAATGAGATTATTTCAAAATAAAGTTCTTACGTTCGTATTGAAATCATAAGATAATTGCTTGATTTGAACATAAATTAAGCTAACCTAGGATGTACATGGTGAAGGAGATAAATCGGTGATACTTCACCAGAGAGGAGAGAAAATCAACCCTAAAAATTTTAATGTATTAATCAGAATATTTTAAACTTAAAAATTTTGATAAAACTCCTTCTGACCCAACTTTCAATTACAAAAAAATACCTCCAAAAATAGTTAAAACATTTTAATTTTTGGAGAACATTAAGGTCATTAGAGGCCGTTGGAGGTCATAAGAAGGTCAAGCACTGAATTCGTTGCTGCTTCTGTATTCCTGGGGTTCCTAGCTTTTAACTGATATGCATAAAGGCATAGTTGAAACATTTTCATTTTTGGAGGTCATTTAGGTCATTTAGGTCATTATAGGTCATTATAAGGTCAAACACTGGATTCGTTGCTGCTACTGTATTCCTGGGTTTCCTAGCTTTTGTTTGATATACATAAAGCCATAGGTGAAACCTTTTCATTTTTGGAGGTCATTATAGATCATAGATGGTCAAACACTTGATTCGTTGCTGCTACTGTATTCCTTGGGTTCCTATCTTTCGTTTAATATGCATAAAGCCATAGTTAAAACATTTTAATTTTTGGTGGTCATTTAGGTCATTAGAGGTCGTAAGAGGTCATTAGAAGGTCAAACACTAGATTTGTTGCTGCTAGTGTATTCCTGGGGTTCCTAGCTTTCATTTGATATGCATCAAGCCATAGTTGAAACCTTTTCATTTTTGGAGGTCATTTAGGTCATTAGAGGTCGTAAGAGGTCATTAGAAGGTCAAACACTGGATTTTTTGCTGCTACTGTATTCCCTGGCTCCCTAGCTTTCGTTTGATGTGCATAAAGCCATAGTTGAAATATTTTCTATTTGTGGAGGTCATTAGAGGTCATTAGAGGTCATTAAAATTCAACTTTATTTTATTTTAGGAATTTCGATCACTAATTAGGCGTGCACCCAAAAAATTGGAAGATTTGAACCAAAAATGAAGGCAGGGCCCTCCCCCCCCCCCCCTACATCAAATGTGCCAACTCCACCATCCCCTTTAAATGAAAAGTTTAATTTTGTCAATTTTTCTAGAAAACTGACCCGGCAATTCGAAATAACATGAGGAGAGATGAATAAGAATAATAACCAGTCAACAATCAATTATCATTCTTAACTAATGTAACTAGACGGATCCGAGGTAGAATTTAAAAAGCAGTGGGGAAGTGGTTAAAGTAAGTACGAAAAGTTCAACTTCATCTCTAATATGGTTGAAAGTGCTTATAGTGCCTGCAATGAAGAAGCGTAACACGAACCTGTTGACAAGTACCCCGAAGTACTCCACCAAGCTCTCCCCGTAGAAGAAGTAGTTCGAGGCTAAGCATTTCATCATCATCACACAAATGACATATTCGGTAAAAATGGTGTGTACCACCAAATCAACATGGCAAACTTGAATAAAAGTCTAAATAAAGTTGGTCTACAAAACTGCATCTAAAAGATGGCTTCTGATTCAAAATGACGTCTAAAGATGGCGTTCTGAAAAAAGATGGCGTTAAAATTCCCTGCAATCGAAATGGCGTCAAAGAATTGATATTGCAATGAACAAAAATGGCGTCTGTATAGAAATTGGGTCAAAAACGAAATTGCGTCTGCATTCTGTTGGCGTTGGATGATGAAAAAACGTTCCTACGAGAAAGTACCAGGACATTGACCTGAACCAGGGCAAATTATCCATCTTGTAAACAGCGTACCCGATATTAATAATCTCGGAGAAACACTGAAAAAAAACATTTATCAGAAAAAAATCAAAATTCGTAAAAAAAAGAAGTGTAAAAAAATAAATGTTCATCCTTATACAAGACAAAATAACGTCACAAAAAATTTCTATTTATTCTCAGTCAAACGGAATAATGAAAAAATATTTGCTTAATCTATTTGATACAACAGCCAAGAAATTCCAAAATATTAAAACTATTGAGAATAATGACATTTAACTAAAAAAAAGGAATAGAAACACAATTGTTATGAAAACTGTGGTTCGGATACAGAAATCCATCATAATTTAAAATCTAACATTCAAACCTTGACTTGGACCACGAAGGTGGTGATCATGAGAGCTAAGGGTCCGCCGTAGATGATCAACCCGAACCCACCGATCATTAACCAGGTGAAGATAAAACGGATCACATAGTTCTTCCACCTTTACGATCATTCAGGTAAATAATAAATCAAATCAAAATTAAATAAAAAAATCAAATTGAATTATCAAATAAAATAAAATTATATTACATCAAATCAATTCAAATCCTTTTCTTAACAACTTTATTCTGTATTATATATCAACAATATTGTAAATGATTTGCGACAAGGGGAGAGAAAATATCTCCTAATAGAATCATTTCCTATCAATTCAAATCAATTCAAATCAATTCAAATCAATTCAAATCAAATCAATTCAAATCAGTTCAAATCAGTTCAAATCAGTTCAAATCAATTTAAATCAATTAAAATCAATAAATTCAATTCAAATCAATAAATTCAAATCAAATCAAATCAGATCAGATCAGATCAGATCAGATCAGATCAGATCAGATCAGATCAGATCAGATCAGATCAGATCAGATCAAACCAAACCAAACCAAACCAAACCAAACCAAATCAAATCAAATCAAATCAAATCAAATCAAATCAAATCAAATCAAATCAAATCAAATCAAATCAAACCTAATCAATGTTATCAAATTTATGACATTTATCATTCTAGCAGGGCAAATAAAAAATAAAAAACAGAGACATTTTCTTGAAAACCCCACCTTGGAGGTAATCCACTTAGAGCCGCGTCCAAGGAGTCAGGATTTTTATCCTTAACAATAATCATTAATATCAGCGTGAAAATAGCAGAAAAAAATGGATTCATCAGATGCTCAAATTAAAAAATAATTTAAAACCCTCTTTTCATGGTCAATTGTCAACGGTCATTGGTCATTGGTCAACCCAAAAACAGAAAAGCAAAACTGAAAATAACTTTTGGGGGAAATGTAAAATAAGAATTATTAACTCAAGTTAGTCACAACATTCTCAAAAAGAGAATAAAAAGATTTGTAAAAACTTTGAAACATATGTTTCAGTTTTAATTTAAAAGTTTTTAAAAAAGATCAAGAAGAAAGGATTAAAAACAAGAAATATAGAAGTCTCAAAATGTTTCCATCTGATATCATATTAAAATTTAAAAATATTGTAAAATTTAATTATAATAAATTATTAAAGTTTAAAAAAGTTTTTAAAAACTGGGTTAAAAATGGCGCCGAGATTTTACCTGTCCAATAGTTTCCGCCAAACTCTTGTTTATCATTGGTTTATCATCAGCATCACTCTCATCTCTAAACATGAGTTTAAACATACCAAAACAGAAAGTAGTTCGAAATTCTATATCTTAGCGTCTTTGAGGAGTAAATATTTACTTATGAAAACATTGGTTTCTCCTCAAAGTTCTTGACTGGGTCACTTAAGATGGCAATGTCTAATTTACAATGGTACCCTTAAAAGCCTTTTCTCATCAAGGAATGAGTTAGATATCCACATTTTTACGCGGTTTATTTTCTTTTGTGGTTTCTATGCAAAATTGATTTGCGCATTTCCTGTGAATAAAAAAATATGGAGAAACCATCAGATTAATCACTTTTCAAGTCAGAAAAACGACGATAACTTCCACATTAATTATAAGATTAAGGTTTCAAGGGTACCGTTGTAAATCAAACATTGCTATCTTTGCATGGAGTGTCACTTGAAATTACGCCAGCAGTCTCTTTAAGATTTCCTTATTTTTATTTTTTTTTGTTAAAAAATTCAACCTTTTTCCCTGAGACATCGAAAGTCAAAAAATTATTAAAATTTTTCATTTTTATAAATTATTTAATTTAAAATTATCTCCAACGTTTATTGTTGTCAACTCCTGAATTTACCTCGGCATTTTATCCGTCTCCGACTCCGACACTCCGGTATCCCCCTCCGGACCTCCATCCCCCTTTCGCCGGCGTAATTCCGACTCCGACATTTTTCTGTAAATTTCAGGTCACGTGGCCATTTAATATATAAAGAATTTTTAAACTATGAAGGTACATATTTTTTGCTAAAATGCTCGTATGGTAAAGTAATTTTATCTCCTGAGTCCAGCTTTAGTACTCCAGAAAACTTGTCCGTATCAATCGTTCTAAAATAAGTATAGTTTTAAAATATTAATTTGTTGTCAACTTTCAATTATTTCGTGTTAAATATTATTATTAGCAGTTTTTTAATGCGTGATGTTAAATTAGCTCTATATTATGACTAAAGCTTGATTGGTTTCTGTGACTGTATTAAAAAAAAATAGTAAAATTTTTTATCATTATTTAATTAAAATGTCAAAAGAATTTTTTTTTTAAAGTTAACAGCATAGCACATAAAATCTGCTAAAACACATTTCTTTGTTTTGGCATTACTTGTCATGAAGTTTTAGGGAAACAAAATTTTCTGTACATTGAATGTTTTTTAGTTTTCTGTCCAAAAGTTTAGAGCACTGCGCGCACGAAAATAATAGTGCTTTATAGAATATTTAAAAACCCAAATCAAAAAGTTATAAATAAACTTTTAAATAAAAATACAGACCTTAGTACTGCAGTGGCTCCTCTGTGTTTACCGACCAAAATAACAACATCCCTGCCAACCTAAAAAAAAAAAAAATTAGTAATTTGAAATGATAGAATTTCAAGGGTTTACAGTTCAGATTTACGCATTCACTTTTGATAACTTTAAGTAAAAAATAAAAATTAAGATTCAATTAATTTTTTTATAACATTACTAGACGAATTTAATTTTTTAGTGATAATTTCTTTCTCAAAAATACTCCGGAAGTGTTGTGGGTAGAGGGAGGGATGGTGGGATCAGGGGGGTAGGGGGGTTAAAAACTTAAAACATAGGACAAAGGGAGGAAAGATTAACACACCTGTGGAATAACCGTCTCTAAATGCTCCTGGTCAAGCTTTAGTTTAGCTCCGGTATCATTAACCACCACTAGACCAACATAATCATCAACCAGCTCCTTGATAAATCCCTTCTTTTTATAGTACTTGTCCCCCAGGGACTTTGCCACGATCTTCACCACGATATTCTTCCTGAGCCAGGGAGCAGCTGTCTCACCCTTCTCCTCCACCTTCTCCACCTTCTTCCTCTTCTTCTCCTCTGCCATTATCTCCTCAAGAGCGGACATCTTCTTTTTTCCGTTCTCCTCTTCATCTCTAGTTCTCTTCTTCTCTCCTCTTCCTGCATCTTTAAATATGTTCTTTAGCTCAGCTTTAGTTTCCTCCTAAAATAATAATAATTAAGTGTATTTAAGTAGTCCCAAAAAAGAAAAAAAATTTCTAACATTTCTTTTAACAGAGGGGTTTAAATAATTTTTAAATAAAATTTTAACGTCTCTGGTCTAAAGTATTATTATGAAAATAATAAAATTTGAAGAAGAAAAAAAAGGAATAATTCTTTTATTCATTTCTTATTTAGAAGTTGTGTAGTGAATAAATAAGCATATTTGTATCAAATTTCTAAACTATTAAGAATCAAAATTCACGACCTAAGTAGAATTTAAAGTTTAAACTAAACAAATTCGATTCCCGAACTTCGTTACGAAACCGGCTTCGGACTTCGGAGTATATAAAATATTTTATCATAAAATATTTGCTGGAAAAAAAAATAAAATAAATTATCTATTTAAACAAATCTGAAATATGTAGATCACTCTAAAATCTAAAGCAAATTTTGAATATAAAAAACCCTTTAATAATTCTTCTCGAGTTATTTGTCAGTTGCCTGAATTTTCTTGAAAAATTAAAAATTGAATATCTCAGTCACACGAGCCACTAAGTTGCTTAAAAGCTTTTATCGTACGATGTGTAACAATCTGTTGATTTTTTCTCGTGACAGTTTTGTTAAACCTATTTTTGGTTTTGGACCACATCAGGGTCAAATCAAATCAAATCAGACTTGTAGGGACGACCAAAGTAGAATTAAAACTAAACATTCAAATTCGATTTCCGAACTTTGTTACGAAACCGGCTTTGGAGTATGTAAAATATCTTATCATAAAAATATACATAACATTTTATAAAAATCAAACGAATAATTTTTTTAGACAAATATTAAATATCTATAAATATAAAGTAGTAATTTCTGTTTTTCTGTTTGTTTCTTTGTATGTTCGATCATAACTCAGGGACTCCTTGACCGATTTGCCTTAAATTTTGATTGGGGAACTCGGGATACCACGGGAATGTTGTAAGCTCGGTTGAGTGGGTCGACTTTTACAGCGAAAAATAGCTAGTATCGTAATTTACGACCAAGTTGGAGTAAACGGGAGTAAGTATGAGTAGCATCTGGACAACTCTGGGTTCCCAGGCTAGTATCCGATAAAACATCCATGTACGTTTGAAAGTTTAAAACTATCTCTATATATAACCCTCTTTACATGTATACTCCACATAATGTTTTATTTATTGATTTAATGTAGGGCTTCTCTAGATTGTGAAAAGGTGACCAGGGCAGGAGGAAGGGGGACAGGAGGAAGGGAGGGGTAGGGGGAATATCGGGGTTGTAAAGACCACCATTCAAAAAAATGGCTGATATTTAAGTAAGACTTAGAGCTACAATTATTACAAGAAAGCAGGGCAAAAAGCGCCTTTACAACATTTAAAGATATCGAAAAAAAAGAAACATATCGAAAGAAGTTTACTATTTCCCAAACCAAGAATAAATGTCATTAGGTCCTATGACGAGAAGGTGACTTGTTATTGCATCTTTATTTAAAAAGAATATGAAAGGATAAATTTTTTCTACCTTCAGTTTTCTCTCTTGAATCTTGAGGTCCAGCTTGACGACCTCGTCCTCGTCCTTGAGGAGCTCTGTAGCCTCGTGCTCTTCGATATTCTTCTGCTCAGCCTAGTTCAAGAAGAATCAGAAACCAGATTTAATGAATATTGAGAAGTAGTTGAACCGCGTAAGCTAGGTTGAGCAACCTCTTCAGCGCCGGATCGAGCTGTAGAGAAATGGTAAAACACAATCTACACGGTTCAACTATCTCATTATTCATAAAGTCTGGGCTCAGGGACCGAATAAAATGAATTGGAGATGTTGCTGAACACCTACCACTGCACCGGCTGAAATCATGAATCATCGATTCAAATCCTCATGAATCTTTGTCTTTGAAACGGTGATTCAAGATTTGAATCGACGGTAGGTAGTTCAGCAACGTCCTAGCTCAAAATTATTAAATTCGGTCCAAGGTCAAGTAAATACATTCTTAACAACGGTGTTTAGGTTTTCCCTATGATAGCCATGAAAAAGTGGAATAGAAAAAAAAATTTTAAGGGACCGTTCACTCGTTTGGGTAGTTTCAGGGTAAGCTAAACAGCCTATTCGCTCTTGGCCGGAGAAAAAGCCGTTTTTTCGTTCAGAATTCGAGCGCAAAGGGACGGTCCCTCTCTATAGACAAGTTTTGATGGTTTTTTCAGTAACAGCAGCCCAATAACATTTAAATTTATTATATTTTAATGTCATTATCTGTTCGTTATTATGTACTAAAATATGAAAACTTTTGATATTTGAGTTAGCAAGAAATTTACGTTTTTCGTATTAAAACATGTAAAATGTGTATACAAATCGACAATCAATTAATCATTACTCGTATTTTGGTTCGTAGATTTTGTAGATTTTATTGCCGTATGTACACAACTTTTCATTTGTCATGCCAAGTTCAATTCAGCTTTTTACACAGGCTATACACAATTTTGAATGCAATAAAATAGTGTTATTTTATAAATAGAAAGTTAAAAAACAATAAAAAATCAAAAAATAATGACATTTACATTTAACGATTAGATACTACAGTTTAATTTTATATTCGAAATTTATTTTGATTCACAACATACTGAAAAAAACATCAATTAGTGTCTATAGATAGGGACCGTCCCTTTGCGCTCGAATTCTAAACAAAAAATCGGCTTTTTCTCCGGCCACAGTTGACTTTGAAAAGTAAGACTTTTACCAATCAACAGCGAATAGGCTTTTTAGTTTATCCTGAAATTACCCAAATAAGTGAACGGTCCTTTTAAGTATTTGATGTTACAGTGTCATTTATTTTTGTGTGTCCGATAATGCTCGGGAACCTCTTGACCGATTTCTCACCTTAGCTTTTTCTATTTGCATATCAATGTATTCTTTTAATCGTTCATCGTCATCCTAAAAATTAGAAAATATGTCAGGGGAGCAAAACTTTTGAAGGGGATAGCGCTTATCCTCAGCGAAGTGTATTCCTTTATTGAAGAGATTAAGTTTACGTCCAAGGATACTCCGGTAATTAATTTATGATCCAGCGTCTTAGCTTAATCCGCTGAGACAGATATTAACCGTCTGAGCGCTGATGGTAGAGAATTTAGATTAAAAGGTTTCGCCCTGGGGTTGATAAAACTGTTTACCAAATTTTTATCGGCAAACATGTCAGATTAAAACTTTAACGTAAACGAAAAAAATGCTATAATTTAAGTTAATGTTATAATTACTCAATTTTAAAATAAATTCATTTCAATAACAAAAAAATAGGTTTTTGTTCTTACAGTGTTCTTCGCTTTTCTACATTCTGCATAAAAGTGAAAAGCTATAAAAAGGAACCTTTGCTAGTTTATCTTTCTTTGCTAGACGTTTATCTCTTTCTTGTGTTTCCATATCCTTCTCTACCCAAGTTACAAACCATCCTAGAACACAATTATGTAAACCAACCCAACCCAATCAAATCTGACCAAACCAACTTAAATTAATTCGATCAATCCAAACCTGCCAAATCAAACCAAGACAAACCAACCTTAACAATTCCTCCAATCCCACTCCAATCCAATCCCACTACACTCTAATCCACTTCAACCCAATCCAGCCCAATCCGATCCATTCCATTCCACACCAATCCAATCCAAACCCGATCCAGCTCAATTCACTCCAATCCAATCCAATCCAATCAAATCAAATCAAATCCAATCCAATCCAATCCAATCCAATCCACTCTCCTCCACTCCACTCCAATCCAAGTTATCCAAATACAATCAAATCTAACTAAACCAACTTCAATCCAATCCAACCCAACCAAATCAAACCAAATAAAATAAAATAAAAAATTTTAATTTTTAAAAATCAAACGAAGTTAAACCAGGGGTGTATATTTCTCTGTTCCCCCGGGGGGGAGGGGTTTGGGGAAAAATAGGAAAAAGAGGGAAGGGAAGGGGAGAAGGAAAAGGGACGGGGAAAGGAAAGAAAAAAGAAAAAGGGAAAGATTAAGTGAAAAGGGGAAGCGGGAAGGGAAAAGGGCAAGAGGGAAGGGGGAAAAAAAAAACGAACATAAATTCAAAAACCAGTTTCAGAAATGCTTAAAAAACTCAGGAGGGCCCTTGAAGTTGACGTTTTTAGGGCACTAAAACGCTCCATTATACTACTAAAATCCATAAAAATTTCTGTGGAGGGGGGGGAGGTAAAAATATGAGTCTCAAAACTAATATACACTCATGAATACAACTAAATCAAACTAAACTTTAACAATCCAATCCAATCCAATCCAATCCAATCCAATCCAATCCAATCCAATCCAATCCAATCCAATCTGCTCCAAACAAATTAAATCAAATCAAATCGTAATTAAGTAAAAAAATATTGACACGAAATAATTATAAATAAACAAGGCAGTTTGATTTCTTTTTTTTAAAAAAAAAATACCTTTTTCCGTTTCATCCACAACTGCCTTTCCTGTTCTACCCAAATGCTTGATAAAACTTGTCAAAGTGACCCAGCACGTCGAGTTCATGTGTACATGTTCCTAAAAAATGTGTACATGTTCCTAAATAATGTGTACATGTTCTTAAACGATGTGTTTATGTTCCTGAACAATGTGTATTTAATCCTGAACAATGTGTACATGTTCCTAAACAATTTGTGCACGTCCCTAAACAATGTGAACATGTTCCTAAACAATGTGTAAATGTTCCTAAACAATGCGTATATGTTCCTGAACTATGTGTACATGTCACTAAACAATGTGTACATGGCACTTAACAATGTGTATATGTTCCTGAACAATGTGTACATGTCACTTAACAATTTGTACATGTTTCTTACCAATGTGTACATGTATCTAAACAATGTGTACATGTTCCTAAACAATGTGTACGTCTCACTTAACAATGTGTAAATATTTCTAAACAAGGTGTTCATGTTTCTAAACAACGTGTTCATGTTCCTAAACAATGTGTTTATGTTTCTTAACAATGTGTACACTGTACATGTTCCTAAACAATGTGTACATGTACAAGATCTTGAGCTCAAACGTTTAGTCGGATAGAACCCCACTATTTAAACTATTTAATTTAAGATCAATTCCATTAATATGTATATCTATGAAGAGATGATTTATATTTGTTTACAAGTAATGGATGACTGTGTCTGATAATCTAAATTAATGTGTAAAAGGAGAATGAAACCCGATTAAGTAAGCAATGAAAAAAATTTAAAAGTTTTGACCTCTGAACGGATAAAATGTAATACCATAGTCAGTACATATTTTGTACATACCTTGTACCCAATGTACTGCTGATAGACAACATTGGCATGAACTCTCTTGTCTGGGTATTGTCGTTTCAAAATATCGGTATAACCCTGGAAACAAATATAAACTGTGTAAAAAAAAACTTGATAAATATAAAAAGTAATTGTGGCTGAATTGAGGTTGTTTAAATAGTCATGAAGATCTGTTTGGAATCCCACCAAACAGAAACAATTGACGATTGTTGGACTTACCTTTTCAAACTGTTTTAAATAGTCATGAAGTGAACTGTTTGGGTTCCCTCCAAACAGAAACAATTGACGCTATTTGGACTTACCTTTTCAAACACAGAAACAGTTGACGCTATTTGGACTTACCTTTTCAAACACAGAAACCGTTGACGCTATTTGGACTTACCTTTTCAAACACAGAAACAGTTGACGCTGTTTGGAATAGTCATGAAGGTAACTGTTTGGGTTCCCTCCATACAGAAACAATTAACGCTATTTGGAATTACCTTTTCAAACTGTTTTGAATAGTCCTGTAAATAACTGTTAGGGTTCTCACCAAACAGAAACAATTGACGCTCGTTGGAATTACCTTTTCAAACTGTTTTGAATAGTCATGAAGATAACTGTTTGGGTTCTCACCAAACAGCAAAAGCTGTCTCTGATGGGATTCACTCATCATGTGACATTTAAACCCATTCTCATCTCGACACTGTTTCTCACACATTTGACAAAACCTGGAAAAATTCATGTTAAATAATTGTGCTAAAATAATGCAGAGAAAAATTTTAAATTGAAAATTGAATTCTTAAAGCTATGTCTGAACAAGTATGAATTGGATATCAATGTTTTTAATTTTGAAAACTGGTAATTTTCAGTCGTGATTTCTTTATAAAAATTTCACTTTTAAACATATAAAAAAGGCAATATCGTGCACATTGTTGATCAGACAAATGTTAAATGTGCACCGTTGTAAATCGGGCATCGTCGCCTTTGCATGCAGGATCTGCACTTGAAATTACGCTTACAGTCCCTTTAATACTTTTCACGATATATCAAACAAAATTATAAATCAGTATAGATAGATTGATTAAAATGTAATTATGTGTCATTAAAATCTATTTTACCATCTGAGTTTCTGCAAGCCTTTGGACTTGATTCTATTCCCGATCCATTTAGGAGTTCCAACTTCAGCCTTACCCATTTTTCTTTTTGTTCACGAAAATCTGAAATCAATTAAAAAATGTAAAAAAATTTATGGCTATCACAGATTTAATCATGTTTTCTGGTTTAGAATATGTTTAACCGAATATTTGTAAAGTTGGTTGTTTATATCCATTAATTCTTGAATTCTCTCAGTATTCTCCACTTTCTTCTCTGTAGCAGTCTCACCATCCACTTCTATCTCTTCTTTCTCAAACCGTTCAAACGGTTTCGTTTCCTTGCTAAGAACGTTAGAAACAAAGGAGTCCTTCTCGTCAAACCCTTTCTGAAGAGGAACCAGCTTCCTGCCCGGGCTCCATTGATCTGTATTAAGCATGCCCGGGGGCGGAATCATGTACTTGAGGGAGGTGATGGCTCCCTTGTGCTCTAGAACTCTGACACACTGACCGCTCTTTACATGCCAGATACGGACATTTGTATCCAAGCTTCCAGAGCTGAGATGAGATCCATCTAAACTCAAACTAAGGTTGGATACAGTATCCGTGTGCCCCTTGAGCACTGTGCTTCCCTGACTCTCACTAGATATCGACACTGATCTAGGCGGGTTGTTCAGACTGATAATATAAATAGATCCATTCTCTCCCCCTGTATATATATTGTCACATGTTGCATCCATAGTTACCGAGCCTAGAGGAACTGGATAGGAGATAGAGAGTAAAAGTTGACCGGAGACAATACAGAAAAGTTTACAGGTTTGATCCTTGGATACTGATGCAACCTTGGAGTTGACACCCCCTGGAGTAATATGGATATCTGTGACGGGTAGAGCATGATCTCTCCAGGACCATTTAGGTTCGGGTTTACCAACCTAAAACCAGAGGGTCAATAGATATTTTAAAAATGGTGGCGTCAAGTTTTAGCGAAATTCAGTTTTCCTAAAATTCGGAACATATTTGCACATTTCCATCAACAACCAATGAGTTTTGACAAGCTCGCATTTAATATTCTTCAGAAAAATGTTAAAGAAATGATTTCCAAAGTTTTGAGGGTTAAAATTGAAAAGTTGCACATTTCGGATACTTTACATTAAAACATCAAAAACAATTCAAACGATCAGCCTATTTTTAGTTAGGGACATTTTAAAATTCTGTTTTTTATATCTGAATTAAAAATTCCTGAATTTACCTGAGAAACTTTAACGCCTGGTAGATTTCTCCTTGAAACAACCATCGCTATACTCCAGCAGAGCACTTGACCGTCTCCGCCGGCGGACACGAAGTATGAACCGTCCTCAGTGAACTGTAGGCAGGTGACCGGCTGGTAGTGCGAGCTTAACACACGCCACAATCTTCCGGTACTCACCTAAATTACAGACAAGTAAGTACACGAAGCGGAAACAAATTCAAGACTGGAGTTTGCTGAATTTTAATTATTAAACTTTAAGTAATCTTAATTCTCCCTTTCATCCTTTCAAGTTGGCTCCTGTCTTCAATATCGAGAATTTCAGGATTTTCAGCAAAATTAAAAATATAATTCAATACTTAGGGCAGACTAGGGGAGTAGGCTAGGGAGGGTTACAAAATTTATAGGAGGGGGGGGGGCATGTAGAACCTATAAAATATGCTACCGTTAACCCCCCCCCCTCTCATAAAGTGGAACATACATTACGTACACTATACTCAAAATACCAAAAAGGAACATGAACACTGTAAAAGTGTACACCACCTCCCTGCCAAAAACAAAAATTACATACCCTATCCCCTCATTCCAAAAGGAACATGTATAACCCCCCACCCCCTTCCCACTAAGAATGGACACCACCCCTCCCCACACCCCTCTAAGAGCAGTTAATTATATAGCACCTGCCAAACTGAAATTTTCTCTTCTACGGCCGCGATCAAATAGCTTCCTCGCGGTGAGCAGGTCAGCGCGCTACATTTCCCCGGCGTGAACATTCTTAAACTCATCTGCTCGTTCCGATTTATCTGCCAGACGTTAAGTAACGGTTTATCAGGGTGTGCTGAAACCATGTAATCCGTCCCAACCATACTTAGGGTTCGGTTTAAGGTACTACCGCCCTTGTAGGACGTAAGCAGGGTTCCAGTCTCCGAATCCCAGACTCCTGTATTCCACATCTGTCCTTTACTCTCACTTGACACTAGAACTTCACCCTTATTCCTCATTTTAACTAAAATACAAAACCTTCAATGAACTTTTTTTTATTAGCAAGGTGGTGACACGACACGGTCAAACCAACTTAGCTGACGAAACCAGAATGTCATCAATATTAAGGGTTTTTTGGGGTTTTCACAACGATAAATAACAATCAAATGAATCATTTGAGCTAATGAGTAATAACTTAATTTCCACACTTCTCAAACAGTCATATGATCTTTGCATGACCCCCCCATTTAATTTAAAATTATCTCCAACGTTTATTGTTGTCAACTCCTGAATTTACCTCGGCATTTTATCCGTCTCCGACTCCGACACTCCGGTATCCCCCTCCGGACCTCCATCCCCCTTTCGCCGGCGTAATTCCGACTCCGACATTTTTCTGTAAATTTCAGGTCACGTGGCCATTTAATATATAAAGAATTTTTAAACTATGAAGGTACATATTTTTTGCTAAAATGCTCGTATGGTAAAGTAATTTTATCTCCTGAGTCCAGCTTTAGTACTCCAGAAAACTTGTCCGT